AAGTAAAAATCACAGCCCATAAAAAATCCAAGTTTGTCAATTTTATTATACATGCAGTGCATGACGATTTGATGGTCTTGGGATCCATGTTATTATTATTGATGCGTCAAAGAAGAGATAAATTTATGAAGCTCTAAGGATCATTAACAAAAGACCATTATTTTATCCCATAATTAGAGAAAAGATCAAGTGAAACCAACCTGTATTCAAGTGAGAAGTTTCGCAAAAGACTTGCTGGGAGAAATCTAAATAAAAGAGGTTAAGATAACTAAGTTACTCTTGCAAGTTAACCCTTAAAGTCAATAGGTTTATTAATTTTATAAGGTAACATGTAAAGCTAAAGGCAAAACTAATTTTTGAAGTGGTAGTGAGGATGCAATTGAATTGATTGTGATGAGCTTACCAATTAGACGTGGGTGCAAAGAATTTTCTTCATAAAAATGTAATTGAGGAACCATAAGCAATTGTAAAAAAATTAGGAAAGAGATTCCTATTCACCCATTACATGATGATCTTTCCATACTATTTTTCTATTTTAAAATTTCTACAACTATCTTACTCATGGATTATTATTTTGTTTAGAAATTGGTTCCCGGTTTGATTGGAAACTCTTCCACTCTTGCATTACGTATCGGCATATACATACATCATATTTATTGCATGTCAATTTCCACGTGCACTTGACAAATGTGGTCAAGAAAATGTAACTAAGGAAACTTGTAAGCAGTTGCAAGGGAGTGATGGACGGAAAGGATTGAAAAACTCCAATTATTTTTGACTTCTTTATGAAAGGTGCAACATCAATTTACATACATCATATTTATTGCATGTCAATTTCCACATGTACTTGACAAATTTGGTCAAGAATATGTAACTAAGGAAACTTGTAAGCAGTTGCAGGGAAGTGATGGACGGAGAGGATTGAACAACCCAAGTTATTTTTGACTTCTTTATAAGAGGTGCAACATCAATTTACATACATCATATTTATTGCATGTCAATTTTCACATGCACTTGACAAATTTGGTCTAGAAAATGTAACTAAGGAAACTTGTAAGCAGTTGCAGGGAAGTGATGGACGAAGAGGATTCAAAAATAACTTAGAAACTCTTCTACTCTTGTATTACATATTGGCATATACATACATCATATTTAAGGCTGCAGATAGATGTCAAAGTCATTCCTTGGGCTTTGGTCCAAGAATAATCATTGACAAAATGAATGAGGATTGTTTCATACAAGATCAGGTTGGCAGATTGTATATGATTAAAATTACTGGTCATATACTGTAGACATTGCTCATTTGCTCAAATGGATTCAAACCATCACTAGCTAAACCAAGCCTAATGTTGTGGGAATCTAAGGCAAAATCAGGGTATCATTGATCAAATTCTTTCCAAGCTTCACCATTAGCAGGGTGTCTAAGTTTTCCATCCTTAGTACAACCTTCATTATGCCATCTCATGTCAGTAGAAGTTTTAGATGACATAAAAAGTTTTTGGAGCCTAGGTATTAAAGGGAAGTAACACAAAATCTTTGCTAGTTTCTTGTTTTGGTAGTTTTACTTGACTCTTTTGGTTGTTGGCTTTCATTTAATGTTTGGGACCACTTAAAAGTACCACAAACTTCGCATGACTCTAGATTTTCCTTATCCCCTCTAAATAACATACAATCATTAGGGCATGCTGCAATCTTTTGATAACCTAAGCCAAAGGACTTAAGGAACCTTTTTATTGCATAAGCAGAAGCTGGAATTTTGATTTCAAGGAATGCTTCATTCAATAATTCTAGAAGCATGGTAAAGGATTTATCAGACTAGCTATTTAGGCATTTCATTTGGAATAACCTAATAACAAAAGAAAATTTAGAAAAGGTTTTGTAACCATGATATAATGGTGTATTCACATCTTCCATTAGTTGATTGAAAGTTCCAGTTGCTTGATTATTTCCATGATAACCCTCTATCATACCATCAAGATGTGATGCATGTCCCACATCATCATCTTGTTGGTTGTCTATAGGAAAGTCATGAATTCCAAGAGCATCTTGCACTAAGGCTTCCATCTCATCATGCTCATTTTCTGAATCAACATGCAACTCAAAAGCCCTTTGAGATGAAGATTCATTTTGCACAAGAAACTGATCAAAAGAAGATAATGTACCTTTGCAAAAACCCTCTAGAGATTAGATGTTCTTCAACTTCATCACATGTTAACAAGTGACAATTTGTACAATCCACACAGGAACACATAATAAGGTTGCTATTAGAAGAATTTTGCCACGCTCTTAACACCATCACGATATTCTTTAGACAATGGTGGTTTATTAATCCAACTTTTATCCATTAGAAAAAAATTTAACAATCTAAGATTAAAAAAAGAAGTATATCAGGATGAGGTTCTTATTTATAAATGTTTAGTCACTTTACCAATATTATGACTACTAAAAGAATGCCTTTGCCCATTTATCTCTCATTTCAAATCATGGCTAAAACACAATTTAATCTTAATAACACAAATTTAAAGCACTTTTCTACACAGAAAAACAGCAAGAAAATTCAATGTGTTTACAAAGACACTAATATCATATATCATATTTCCTTTATAATAAAAATCTCACCAATCAGACTACCAAATAGACATTCATTGTCAAAAACAAGCAAAAAATAGCACAATAAAAAATAATCTTTCATTTTCTCAGTAGCCAAAAGACTAGTTACTAAAAGAATAAAAAAGAAGCAAAATAATGCAAGCTAAGCAAAATTACAGATTACCACTCAATCTCCTAAACACTTCAATTTTGGATTCAACAGAAAAAATAGAAAGAAAAAACTAAAGGTAATTGAAAATAAATTTGAGTTATTGCAAAATTGATAAGAGACCTAAGTAATGCAATTCTAAGTTCTTAGAATGATTACCAAAAGAGAGAGGGAGATCAGAGTTGCAGAGGTCGCTGGAAAATGTCAACACTGTCACCGGAGTCGAGTAAAAATTATCAGAGCCTTGGTTGTGAGCAACACCGAGCCTGGACTGAATGCCCCCAATAAAAAAAACTGCATTTAATTGAACATGCAATTATAAATGAGGATAATTGGAAATGAGAAGGAAATCAGAAATGAGGATTAATCGGGAATGAGAATGAAATTGAGGAGAACCTTCAATTGGAACTTCAGAAAAATTGGAATTAGAATCGGAAATAGCTTGTGGAGAAACTCTTGGAATCGAAATGGGAATGAAATCGGGGTTGGCTTTTTGGGAAGCCCGTTCCCACAGTGCTCACTGCCCGGCTGGCCTGCCAGCGGCTGGTCAAAGACTTGGTCGGATGCGAGATCCCTTGCTTCAGCTATGACGGTAGCAGAGAGTTTAATGGA